ACACATTGTAGCATTTTTCAGAGAAACACAGAGTTATTACATTACAAGTCGCGACACAGTGGATATTTTACAAGCAAGGAGCAGGTAGAGCAACAGTGAACAATAGTGCAGATGTAATTCATTAGCTACCGTGTTGGTTTTGTTTTGGAAGGCTAAAATGCGGCGCAGCTGCTGCTCTGAACGGAATCGTGGGAGGAAAAGTCCAGAAGACAAGTTCTGTTTTTTTTCCAGCAACTTTATACAATGTCGCCTACTACTGATGGAGAAAGTTCCCGGAGCAAACATACAGGAAGAGACCGAAAGAAGCGGGGCACACTGACGTGTTTGCAGCAGAAGTACGTCTGTCAGTGTGAAGAGAACTGAAGGAGGTCCATTCAATACGTGAGTGACACTTAAATAAGGTTGGAGAATGAAGTGTAATTAAAACAGTGAAATAACAAGCAAAGTTCCTACAAATAGTAAAAACATGCCCCTAAGACACCCCCCAGCCAACTTAGCAGAAAATAGTGATATAGATTTTATACCCGACTTTTGGGTCCATTTCGCCCAGCCCTAGGGTATAGCTTGTCAGAAGTGACGTCATTCAACTGAATTATTCTCTGCAGTATAACAATACATATTTAAGGCTAGCTAGTAATTGTTATAGATTATATTTGCTGTCATTTAGGAGTTGAGAAACATGTTAACATTTAGAAAAGATGATGGTGACTGAGGAAATTTAGGGCTCGAAACTTTATCAACACCGTCAAAACTCACAAAGGGGAGCGCAAACATTATTCCACTGCAGCCACACTGACAAGGCTGTGTTCGCAAACATTTTTTGCTTTATCGGCCACGTGAGTGCAGACATCGGTCAATGCCGATTATCTTGAATTGCCAAATATCAGCCCTATTAATCAGTCTATCACTAATGATGAGGTATGAACAAATATAAAAGAAATAATGGATGACGTACAGGGGGAAATGATTCCTCTGCTATCTCGCATGTTCATATTGTCATCAATTTTAAAAACATTTTCAGTCAATTCATTGTTATGTTCATTTCACTCCCCAGAGTACCCTATTTTCCGTGACAAATGATACATAAGTAACCCAGGGCAATTATTTGCTAACATGAAACATGAATATAATATTATATTAGGTTTTCTTGCTATAAATTTGTTTTTGAGTTTTTCTGCCTGTGATTTGTTAGAAAAATGCTTATTAAACTTAATAAAACAATTCAACAGAAATGTCACTTTTTCAAAAACAAACTTACCAGCATCCCACATACTGCCTCTAAAATCATCATGCCTTCCTATACTCAATACGTCAAACATGTATGACAGACCCATCACACACAACAACAAATGACACTGATCGGCCCTTCAATCATCACTTCACATGACATTAAATAAGGTCAATGTTAATGCATTTTTTTAAAAATCATTTAAATTTGACCATATGGCTTCAGTTTAAATTATATGGTTAAATCAGAATTGATACCATGTATATTTTTGTTGTCAGGGCATGAAACCAATGTGCTAAGCTAAGCTAACCAGCTGCTGGCTGTAGCTTTATTTGTCATATATCTTCCGCATCTAACTCTCAACAAGAAACAGAATAAGCATATTTCCTAGAATGTTGAACAATTAATTTACAGCACTTCCACATTTGCTTAATTTAGTCATTGTTACTGTTGATTGGTCCCAACAAAAACCTTGTGGTATTTGTGAAGATTGCAATAGAGGGTGCACATGTCAATTAATGAAACACAGGTGTACTGACGCTTTGGGCAACCGATGTTACCCACACCATTTGAAAGTTGCCAGATAGATTTCAAGTATACTACCAACATAAGCATCCAATGATGCTTGGCTACCTGCCCAAGTGTTTTGTGGACAAACGTACCTACCTCATCTAAAACATATTATTATTTGCCTTGTATCTGGTCTCCCACCCCACTCACAAAGGGATAATTAGTGTTTTTAGTGTATTCATTTACTGCAGTCAAGAGGAGAGACTAATAAAAGTCAGCAGTTGTTATTTACACCAGGTGTGAACAGTCAGTGCCAGCCACAGATATCAAGGCAAAGCTATTTGCAGCATCTGCAGGTAAGTGCTACTTGCACCTGGAACAAATGATCCATACCAACAAATACCTATGTTCAAAATGTAGTGTATTTAGACCCCAATCCCCATTACGAGCATTAATAAATAAATTATAATGGAGATATGTTTGATATATTTTCTCTATTATCACCATGTTTACATATAGAAGAGGCAAAATGGAATAGAAATTGATGAATTATATATATTCAGATCAAGAAAAGGACAAGCCAAGTTAGATGCTACCTTTCTTTACTGCTCCATCATTTCAGCAACAGCAAAGAATCAGCCATGTCAAATGTAAATACATTTGTCATTCTCTCATGGTTAATCCTAAAAAGCACCATTTCTAACCATATGTAATTTTCTTTAAACATATGACTGACTTTCCATGCACATCCATTACACATGTATACTACACACACATAAAGTACATACTAAAGTAATATGTAGAGTCAGTTTTCAAGTAATGTATTAATATGAACATGAAAGTCAACCTTGGCTCAATGGGCCTCATTTACACAGATAGGACATGTGAAGACTTATGAATTGTGGTGATTTAATTTTGAAACATGAGATGATTACTTTTAAGAAAGGGTCCATTAAAGGTCCTCTAGTAATGTCACCACTGATGACAGGTCGTAAAGGGTCATAAACCTCTGTGGTGTCCTAAGTTAAAGACCATCAATAATTTACTCCAGTCTCTTTCCTCCCCGCTTTCTCACTCCGCCCCTGACCGAAACTGGGCTGTCCAGTCCTGTTCCACTCATTACTACAAAGAAAAGACAAATACATCCCAAAAGTCCTTCCTGTAGCTGGTTAGGTTGTGGCCAAGTTTTAGTTAACAAATTGAGATTCACCACCGGTAGATTTCCATTCCTCAATTTTAATTTCAAGAGACCAGAGACCCGGGACATGGAGGGTGGGATCCAATAGGGCCTTAGCTATGCAGTCAGTCCATAAACCACTCAAAGGCAATCAAAGTCTCAATTCACTTGAGACTGTCTTATATGCATAGTACAACCTGGAGCGTTAAGGTCCTATTTGGTATTAAACTGCACAGACCTTTAACTTCCTGCTACTGAGTATCCTAACTGTCATGAATAAACCATTCAGCACAATATTCCTGTCCACCTGTGCTGCCCTGCCCACTGACAGAATAGTTTTCCTGCAAAGAAAAGGTATGAAATAGGTTTGCCCTTCAGCTGCCCTCGGAAATAGTAAATTATTTCGAATACAGTGGTACTATAAGGCACGATGATGCTAAGTGCTCCTTACTGTTTTGCTGACATCAAATATACACACAGAAACAAAAAACTGAAACAGTGTCAAAGAAATCCAGTACATCACTATTAACAATTCCACTTTGGTTTACCAGTGTAGCTAAAGTAACTGCTTTATGCTGTAGTTGTCTGTGTGTAAATTTGTCCATCCATCTCTCCACCATTCTCAATATTTAAGCCAGACTTGCCAGATTTTGAAGAAAAATAATGAGATATTATGCACATCATTTTCCTATCTGATTAATCCAGGAGAGCTGATTATCCCAAGAACTATAATTTGTAAGGCCAACAAGCTCATTTGTTTTTATAACTTGCACAGTGGCTTTGTTTCAGTACAACTCAGCTCAGTGCTCACTACACAACAGGCCCATAAAAAATGAGCCTATCTTGACTTACTCCCCATTGGTATGGTATACAATCCATCCTGACTGAATATATCTGGCACAGATGCAATTTAGATGTTCACACATAGTCACGTGGACTAATAATGCACTGCATGTTAAAACTAATCAAATGTATATATTTGACGTTTAAATGTCAAAAAAAGTTTGCCATTGCAATTTAACCCCTTTCAATATGTCTACTCCTAGGTGGCATTTCAGCTTCAATGACTGAGTGCCTGCCTGCTGCCTACACAAGAGCAACAAAAGGCAAAACCATGTACAGTAGGCTACATGTACTGTGTGTGAATGGTGATGAAAAACATGGAAGCAGAATGATGCCTTTTCCCAATAAAAGGCTGACAGGACCATGTTAGGTTAAATTATGAAAACAATCATTTTTGCGCTTAGTGATGGTGAGTAAGCTCACTACAACACACTGCCGTGGCCATTCAATCCTTTTCCAAGCCTGCTATTTTGCCATATATTAGGCCCATATTTGTAATCCTTCTCCACTATACAGCCACACTTCTGACATTAAAACACCAAACTCTACATGGATAGCAGAACAAGAAGTCCACTTTAATCAGCACAGTGGAATTTGAGAGGACAATGACCCATGGCAAAATGCTGACAACCTCATCGAGACAGTCCTATAGTCAGTTGAGTTATTAAAGACAGTCAATGTTCACTCATCACTTCTGTGATGAGTGATATGAAAGCCCTTGAGGGTGAAAGCAACTTTCATTTATGGACATTAAACCAAATTCTGGCTCTGCACTAATTAACTCTCCATATGTCTGGCTGTGGCCTTGTGATTAGGTATTAGAGCAGAGTAAAACCATTCATGTCAAAACAGTTTTGACTCTGGTTTTTACTTCAAGATTAAAAACCAGAGTCCAACTGTGTGTACTTAGGGAGCCTAAGTATGCATGCAGTGCACCCAGGGAGGCAGCTAAAAAGGCAAACAAATATTACAACAACCTCAGTATAATGAATTAGGTGTGGGTTAGATTCAAAGCTTTTCACCAGCAATATAAATGTTTCCCAATGGGAGACCACAAGGTTATTCTGCTCCTGGTGGCTTCAAAGAGGGACGGGACCATTCAGAACCTAATACAGAAAACTTAAATAAGCTGTAATGAATGCATCCTCTAATTACAAGTCGCCTGTGGCTTCAGGTAGTTACAGTTATAAAAGATTATTTCTGGACCCCTAGGGGTGAAAAAGGCCACACTGGTCTACTTACTCTTGAGTGCAGTGATCAGCATATTCCCATCCTTGATGAGTTCTTTGATGAATTTATTTGTCCGCTCTAGCTCTATTTCATGGCATTTGAGCCGCTCTCTGAAGTCCGGACTGTCCAGGAAAGAGTCACTGAACTCCAAAGTGGGGAGTCCCATTGTACCTCAATGACAAAGTTGCCTTTCAAACGTTTTAACTCGGCATATAGCAGTTTTTACTCCCGACAGCGGTCTCCAAGTTCCACAAAAAAGTTTTCCTGCTCCGCTTAGTTCCTCACTTCCGCTTTGATTTTCTCTCTGCTTTTTTCCCCGACTGCCGATCATAAAAAATTGTGGTTGTGTGACTCCTGCTGGTTAGTTTTGGATAGTTTACAACATATTCTGTAGACCAGCACCTGGTACATCTCTAAGGTAACAATCAGAAACGTGATTTTATAGCCTATGTCCTCCTGCCTTGTTCAAAGTGAAAATATTGCATTTAAAGCTGCATACTCACATAAATAAAATATTTCCAGCTTGTTTCCCATTAGTTACACATTATTGTGGATTGATTGTAGTCCTGACTTAAAGGAGGGCTGGCTCAATTTGAGTTCAGTTTTTGTGTAAATGCAAAAATAGTAGGCTACAAAGCCATCGGCTATGTCAAGTCAGTGCATACTAATCTTATGACAGAATAGTGGCTATATGCCCAAGTCACTGTTGCTAATGAGCCAGCTTTGAGTCAGGGGAACATTTTTCAGCATCAGTACGCTTTGTCACTGTGTACACTGATTTGATGAAGCTTTTCAAACAGTTTTAGACCTAATCTTAGCCGAATTTTGTGACAAATTTGTTTATGCTTCACATCCAAACTCAGCTACGCAAACAGTTAAAGTTTTCTAAGAGGCCTTTTCATAAAATTCACAATATTTAACTGTTAACAATTGCTCAGTGCACCAGTTAAAACACGATTGCCTGATCACACTTTTTTAATATCACATCCTCTGAGTATCCTCTGTGACTCAGCCACATCTTAGGTTTTTGGTTAAATTGGAAAATTACTTTTTAAAGTTGCAAACTGTATACTGTGTAGAAATTGTGGGTGACAATGCATCATAGTGGAATTAGTGAGGGTTTAAGAAGAGGGATCTGAATTAATACTCGGTAAATGGAAGTAATTAAACTAGAATCTAATTGGAGTCAAGGGAATTTGTCACATTCTCTTTATGCAACAGGGAAGGATAGTGATAATGATGTCACACTCTAAATGAGTGTTTTGGTAGGCAGGAAGCAGAGGCTCTGTCAGCAGTGGCACTAAGTCTTTTGAATGACTCTTTCTACTTGCTTTACAGCATCAGGGGGCTGGGAAGAGGCTTTATCTTTGAGAAACAATCTCCTTGGAGAGGCGGATGTTGCAACATTGGCTAGAACCAACACACAAATGAAAATACATTAATAATTTAACACTTCACCATTAGGAGTAGACCATAAGCTGTTGGTGAAGATAGGCTTTTGCTCACTGTCATTTGGAATGTAGCCTTGTAACCTTTTTCCTTGATGACTAACTAGCAACCTTTCCTAATAAGATACCTGCATTGGGTGTAGATAGCAGAGAGATAAATCATCACAGGCAGATAACCTTCCCGGGCAGCATCATGTGGCTGCAGCTGAGTTGTTACTGTGTGTTAACATCAAACTCCAGCAATGGCCAGTAGGCCTATGGTCAAACTGCATTTTTAACAATATATTGTGTACTGGACTCCAATTGATCAGGTAAAATAATTACAGTAAAGCAGGAATATTTTGTCAGAGCTTTGACAAGCATGCCCTGCTTCACCTATGGGATCATAATGACATTTTGAATGTGCCAAAACAAGGGGGCTTAAAAGGTTGCTCCCTATGTGTCTATAACTGAATGAGACAGGTCAGCAGCTTAAAAATTCTGGTGTCCAACATAAATAGGAAGTTTCCTGATGCCCTAATATAAGAAATTCTTAATGACAAAATATTGTATCTGAAGAACACAATGGATATATATACACTACAGTAAACACAGTATGTTCCCAATTTAAGGTCATAATGGCTCTAGGTCTGCCTGGGTTATCTACATTCCCTGAAGAAATAATGCATAACCATCTTCTATTGGCTTTTGTTGGTTATTCATCTCTGATTTTAGTATCTGTCTATGGGTTTGACACAGTGTTAGCCTATTTCTGACTCTGTGACAGACATAAACAAATATACCTCAGGTGTGTCAGGAGTGAGCTACAGTCAAATAGCTGTGAGGAGCCGGAACGAAGACTGGCATCTGTGTCCCTACACATGTGCATTTACAGTGATGAAATCTCAAGTCTGCTAATGAAACCTAAACAGACACCCTGAGTAATTCATTGAGGTGTCCACCACCAGAATCATATTAAACTTGCATGTGACAAAGCTGGCCAGGGAGCACAGTTTGCCTGGGGATGTGTAATTAATACATCCATAATAAAGAACTTGCATGTACTATCCATCTAGTGGGATATGACAGAGGGAAAGGTGGTTCAGTGATCAGGTAATTCTCTGGAAATGAAGCTAAATATGATGTGCATTCCAGCTATATTCGGCTTTTGGAAGAATTGCGCAGAAAAGTAGTCTAAAATATTTCCTTAACAACACACCAGTAGAGACTTGTGGACGAATGGTTAGCTGTATGAAGCATGGCTAATTGCAATCTAAAATAGCTGCCTGTAGAGTCTTTGAGAGAAATTTGGTTTAATTAAGATGATACTCAATAGAGAACTGTGTCCCCGTACTCCTGTCTCATAAAGGCATTCGCACATTGATATTAGTCATGCAAACATGAGTCTACTGAGAAGTGCACATGTCTTTCGCTATGACTGCACCTATGGAGACCAACCAAGAACCATAAAGGGACTGCGCCTGGGGGTTGGGAGAATGCATGCACAAAGAAAATACACACATGCTTGAACCACACAGGCTTTTTGCACACCCTAAGTGAGTGAGACATCTTTCACATATCGTACATGTGGGGGAAGAAATTAGATATGAGACACACATCTTCCCACATGCTCAGTCTCATTCTGACTGCATTAGGGTCACTCTGGCTTTGCCTGATGGAGAATCAGCAGCTCAAAAGGGAAAAATGGCTTTGATTTCACAACAGATATCAACAATCCATGCAGAATAAGCATCGATTAGCTCTGTAATGATTTATGCACAAGTCAGGCAACTTCTGATTAGATTCCCTCTGGTATCACTGCATCACACAGTGTGAAAGTCAGTGCATGTGAGGAGATGTCTGGTCTCCTTGTGGTGGGAGAGGTGGGGGGTTGTTGGTTCCTAACATGCCCCCGTCAATTCCAGCTCTCGTGCCATCATTCTGCAGCAGCAGCCCTCAGGGGTGTAGTTTGTTACATCGACACAGTGAGCAGAGAAATGTGATACATTAGTGGAAACCCTGTTGCTCCAATTTAATTGCTGTGTGCACTCTACAGTACTGAACTGGGTTATTGGGTGAAAGATGATGACTGAGATGGACTACGAAAAAATATATTTCTTCTCAGTACACAGCTCTCAATTTTCCATCTGAAAGTGCAAAGATGATAGAGTTTAAGATGTCACACTTGACATGTGTATTACTGGCCAGGATGCGGCTAATAGTTCTGACTACATCAAAAGGCACACATTTCACATGACATTCAGTAACAGCCATAGCTGCATCGTGCAGGGCAGCATCAGATATAAGTGAATTTAAGGCAACATTTTTGGGTTAATTATGCATTCGAGACAAATGCATATGCATCATATAAAAAAAGACGGGATTAGATAACTAGACTTGTTGTGATGGCAATTACCTCTAAATAATATGAGCTGTTTTTCCCAATTAACAATTGACACTGCCATACATACTCTTCATTTAAATCAGGTATTAAGGTAATTGCACAATTTCCGGGTGGCACTCTGCTTAGTTCCAGAGGAGAGCATTTGAGAACAAGACCTGTCACCGTTTTCCCAGCTCATGATTAATGACCCTAATTTAGAAGGATTTTTTAATCCAATCATGCTCTGACATTTCCTATCAGATGAGTCCTTCCTCATTCTTTCCGTTGTTTACCTCCTGTCACTGCAATCTGCCAAAGTGGCAAGTGCCGGGCTCTCATTTGTGACTCCCATGTCCAGATGACGTTTGAGCAGTTATGCACGATTACCTCCTCTTTACACAGAGGCATCTCTAAAGCATGTGAGTGTCCACAGGGATTCCATTTATTGCTTTTCACTGCACAGTGAAAATCGGGATGGTAAGCTTTTTTTAACTTGAAATGCCACATATGAGTTGAGTCTGGTGTCAGGCAAAGGACATATCTGGAAAATGCTAGAGTTATGTACATGAAAGCCTCGTCTGTGTCCTTTGCATCTGTAGCTTTTGACTTATAAAGCTTCTCAGGGTGCATAAGAAGGGTTGTCCTCAGGAGCAAAGCAGTTTTATTTTTCGCCTCATTGACCTTCACGTGGTGATACCTGTCCAGGTGGACCCGAGGCACAAATTTAAGTCTGGGTGATAAATTACAAGAGCTGCTCTACCAGCTTTGTAAGCAACCATTTGTGTGCTTTGCTGGGACTTTGGCTTTAATTTGGAGCAGCAGAAATCCAAAAAGAGGCCTCTCAACTGTAGTGCACCCCTGTTGACCTTCATCTGTTGGCCCCACACTGTGAGGATGTTTTGGTACAACACCAATCATTGACTGAATCTGACAATCTGAAACTGTGAGGCAGAGAACAGTGCTTAAGAGATTTAAGAGTTTCTACATTAGAGAGAAGCCTTTGTTCTTATTTTTAAAACCAGATGTAGGATGCAGGTTACCACTTCAAGTGCTGCTTTTGATTTACTCTGAATCTCAGAAAAGACTTTGATTCCATTTTAGCTCAAAGAAGAATATTTCACATCTAATACATCATTGAAAAATTAAGGATTCACTTCTCTTTACGGTACAGAAAACTGATTCTTTCCACCCTGTCCTTTGACCATGAAAAATAAAAATTATGTTTGGAAGATTTGTACAAAATATGATTTAAAATGTGACACTAACATTTATAATAGTAAAGCATTTTTCTCCTTTACTTTCCCAATGGACTTCTTTTTACCTCTTCACTGATCAAATCAAGTCATCTTGAAATCACATCTTTGTAGCAGTTTTGTTGCTGTCTAACCAAATGAACGTGATGGTTCATTAGTTTAAAAAAAGTTCATTTTAAAGACCCATGGTTAAAAATCAGTCACATGCAGTAACTGGTGTA